TCTAGGTCTGCCTGTATCTGCAGCCTATCTTCAAGTGTGATCATGCTCCCCCATAACTTAGTGTCGTCCACAAACTTGGCCAGTGAGCTCTTTACCCCCACATCCAAATCATTGCTAAAGATATTGACCAAGCACCGACCACGTGGACCAAGCACCGATCCCTAACATGAATGCCTTATTTTAAATCAGGAAGAGTGTTTATGACCTGGGGCCAGCAACTTCTTTCAAGCTATGGGCTGGAACAACTCAGGTACAGCCTGACATAGGCTGGGTGGCTTTGACAGCATGTTAGTGGTGGGGGGACTCTCCCTGCACCCCTGATGGAGCCATGAAGCCAGGAGCTGTGTCCACACTACTGCTGCTTCTCCTAACTCCCCTGCTGCTTCCTAGTTATGGTGTAAGTGCACCTTTCAGTGGAAGTGAGTTGTGCTGGGGCTGGGCGGCTGTGAGCTTCTTCCATGCTGCTGCCACTTCTGCTTACCTCCATCCAGCCCAGCTCCCCTCCAGCTGGAAGCTGCACCCATACCACCCTCCATGCTTTGTGGAGGGGGTGGGAAGAGCAGGGTAGTGAATAGGATAGAGAGAAGTGGTAACAGTACAGGCACAGCTTCCAGCTCCCCAGCCTGGGTGCAGCTCCTTGCAGCTCAGCTCCAGCATGGGTATGGACATAGTCAAAACCCAGTGTTTCCATGAGCAAGACTTGGCCCCTGAGCCATTCATTGCCTACACCTGCTTATGAATAAACATGCTAGGCCTTGTTATCATTTTGTACAGTGACCTTTTCCTGTATCAGTAAGAGTTTTGCATTAAAAAGGTCAGTAGCAAGATATGACTCAATTTAGCACAAGCTGTGCGCTGGTAGATGCAGACATTATTGATATAAGTTATGCCATGCCTGTGAGCAGCAGTGACTTTGACAGTTATTCTTATCCAGTTTGAGTTCTTGCATTCTTTTTCATTAGCATGAGACTGAGGATAAGATTTTTTGTACATATAACCACCTAATATACTCAACCACTAACAAACTTCTCCTCTAGAAGATAGATACATTATCCTATTCAGTTTAGAGATGAAGAAATTAAGATGCATGTTTTTCCTAAGTCACAGAGAACCCGTGCAAGCTGGAAATCTTCCAATTCTCAGACCGTGGCATTAATCGAAAAAGGGTGATCTTGTGGCTATTTGCTTAGAATCACTCTAAGAAAGAAAAACTGGAAGACTATCATTCTGAAGATTTCTATTATGTCTTCCATTAGCAATGCATAGCAGACTAATTGATACAGTGGGTGTTAATAAATTGAACAAATATGACTATAGCTAGGGAAATGATGAGAATGGACCAAAATGTTTCAAGCATTTTTGTGTCTGCTTGTACTAAATAATTTTTGCTTAAATGTGGATTCATGTGATCTAGAATCATTTGAGAATTTCTTTAATCAGATGCATTAACCCTTTTATAACACATCTGTTACACCCACTAACAAACAAAACATATGATGAACTGGAACCCATGTAACTGAACCAGATTCTGGCTAACATGGAATCATGTCTCCAGTAGTCTCCATGAAGACATTTAGTCCAACATCTTCATGTTTCCACCTTAGAACACCTCTTCATACAGTTACCATATTCATGCAAAACTGCAGTCAAGTAGACCGTGCAAGTCCTTAGACACCTTGAGATTAAATTGTCCTTCATATTTAAAAGGCCAGACTCTGAACTTGCCACCCAGAGAAGAGGAAGGAATAAAGGAATAAGTCATTAAACCATCTTTGCATCTTCCTGGTCATGGGATTCTAGTAGTTGTGAGAGCACACAAAGCAACAACAAACACTCCCTGTGCTTGAAGAAGAGTGTTTGTACCTGAAAGTTTGCAAAGGACAATTTTTCCAACTATTTAGTTGGTCTAATAAAAGATATCACATCCACCCAAAGAACCTGGTCCGCTCTAGTAGTTTGTAAAGCACTTGGCATTAGCTTAGTAGCCCCGACTCCGCATTTGGATAAAGAATACTGAGCTAGATAAACTCAAAGATGACATTTTCAAATGGTGAAAACTGTTGCATTTGTAAAGTGCTTTGCCCTCAAATGACTTGCTTTTATATAAATTCAATGGTAGTGTTTCAAGCATAGAGCACTGGATTGTGAAGTTAGCATTTATATAATTAAGCAGATGCCTTCCCAACAGATTCCTTACTGTGCTCAAGTGTTTACCTCCTGGCAAGTAGTTTTTCAGATTTAAAAACCCTTTCTTAACCTTTACAAATAAACCAATGGCCATTTCAACAGTGCAGGAGCTATTCATTTAGCTCAAAGTCAGTATCTGTGCTTGTAGTTCACCTCAGGATTAGCGCAGCCCTACAGCTTCAGTCACAGACATCATCTTAATTCATTATTTCAGTTAGAATTTACCTTAACTTTTCCTTCCTTCTTTTAGTGCCTTATAATGCATGGGTTGCACACCCAGAACTTCCTCTGTGTATGTGACAAAGGCAGGGAATAAGGTATGTGCTACAGAGGCTACATTAATCCAGACAAGAGATGTTATGGTCCTGGTATAGTAGGGTTCATCTCCAGGGTTGGCTGTAGTGCCCCTGGAGTCTCCTCAGCCTTTATTCACTTCACTCTCTTTGGGCAATCACTGCTTCACTTTCCTGCCACACCTTGATGTATCTAGTTTCTAGATGAAGGGAGGCTGCCCCAGGGCTTCCCAAGCCTCATCTTGTTCTCATGACCACAGGCATCTATAGCCATTGCCTTAAGGGCCAATTTCATGGGCTCCATCCTCCCCAATACCCACTCTAACACATGCCCTTCACGGGCTACAGGCTCCCAGCGCCAGTCCTCATCTGTCTTGGGCTACAGGCTCCTTGGCCCCCTTGGTCTCCAGCTGTGACCCCTGGTTTTTGGCTTATCCATTCCAAGGCCCTGGCCCCATTCCTAAGCCAGGTGAGACTCCTGGGCTCCTCCAATCCCACTAATGTCTGGCTGTGGCTGTATTCAGCCTTCAGCACCTCTCCTTGGCCCTGGCCATGCTCCTGGGCCAGTGAAACCTTTGGCATTCCTTGGCCCTGCTGATTCTTGCCCCTCCTGGGCTCCAGACCTCTGGGCTTTCTAGCCCTGTTGGCACACTGCTCTCTTTCTGTCCCTTGGCTCTGCCCCTCTATGGGTTTTGGGCCTTTTGGCCCCACTCTCTGCCCTTTAGTCGGGCTTCAGGCTTAATTCCAGGCCTTGCTCACACTTATTTTCCCAGGCTTCAGTCCCTTCTACAGCCTCCAGAGCTTACCCCCAGCTCAAACATTAAGCTAGGAGTCCTGATGCAGCCCTGCTACCAGGAGCTCCTCTACCTGTGGCCCTCAGGACTAGGTTGCCTGACATGCTTAAGCTCTGGGCTGATATGGCTCAAGTCCAGCTCCCTTCTGGTCAGGTGTGACAGGGACCAATTATGGAGACACCTGCAAGCTTCTTCTCAGGCAGCCCTTTCCTCTTAGTGACAGGTGTGCCAAGCACCCTGTCACACCTGGCAGGAGTTGATTTGTCTTTTAGAGAAGTAGAGATATTGCTGCAATCTATATCGGTAGGAAAAGAGGGCTTGGAAGTACAAAGAGGGAGTTCAGTTCAAGCTGAGTAAGCTTCACATTGACCACAACTTCAGAAGAGGATACAGGAGTTAACTATCTACCTTGCCTATTGATTTGTGAGTAGATGGAGACTCTCATGGCTCTGTGGAGAGTGGGAGAAGAGAAGGAAGATTCTCATTCAAAGAGATGGTATTTTTGCTTGCTTTTAATCCAAGTTGGGGAGAGAGAAGGAGAAATTGAGCCATGGAAACCAATAGAGACAGGTCAAAGTATGTGTGATCCACAGTCTTAGAAGAGGGTTCAAGAAGCATGAAGCAAGAGTAGAAGCCTTGAGACCTGAGTGCAAAGGTGTTGTTAGAAGTTTCTGAGAGCCTTGATAGTTGAAGAAGGTCAAGTAAGATCAAAAGGACTGAAGTTACAGTAGCATGAGGAAATAGCTTAAAAAGAGCCTTCATCTGGACTCATCTTCATCTCATCTCAGGCATCACTTCACACTTCATGGTGCTCATGTCTGCTATCTGCATATTATCTGAGCATTTCACCATTTTCATAGGTTAAACTGGAACATCCTTCACTGCTTTGTCCTCAAGTCCCTTACTTTTTGTAGCATTTAGTTAGACAATACCACCATTGCCTCAGAGAGTTTGCTAAGCTACATTCTTCATCTAGCACAATGGGGACCTGGTCACCGGTTATCAGGCAGTACCATAATACATTAGCAATAAGTGGCAAGTTTTAATTTAGAATTGAACTGATTACAGCAAATGGAATAATAGTTTTTAGTCGAGGGGTCAAAGCTGGGTTCAATAATTTAATAACTCCTGGTCCCATTAAAGTTTGTTCCAGAAATTCCCAAATTCTGGTCCCAGATTGCAGGATAATGGATACGATTTTGCATTTGTGTTAGTAATGTTTTCAACCGCATTTCAAATGTTCTAATATCCTGTTTGCATTTACAGGAAAGCTCCCTACCTGGCTCTCATCAAAGTTTTGTCATGTTTCTAAGTTCATGGATCAAGACCAAAACTTGTAATGGGATCATTCAAATTGACAAAATGTTTATAACTAAAAATCCTTCAACAGGTGGTGATCCCCTGGGAAGCTAAGTTATTGCAATTGCATTTGCTTTTCTTGTAATTAATCTTTGAGGAAGATGATCAGACAAGTATTGGATCCATGGGAATTTTTCATGCAATCAGTCTAGCGATGTCTTTGCTACTACTACTTGTGAATCCACCCACGTTAAAGCTACCCAGGACCATTCACTGTGGCAACTGTTGTATTTTACCCAAAGAAACATCTAATTTATGACTTGCACCTAATTTACATGCAAAAGCATAAAAAAGAACGCATTTCTATGCAAATGTCAGTTATATTGAAGTCAACGGAGATGCCAAGTTCACTCTTTTGTGCTTCCAGATTTATCAGAGATGCTGGTTAGTATTCAAGAAAGCTTCGAGCAAAGGGCCAAAGAGATTGGAGAAGTTCTCAGATGAGCGTGCTGCGTATTTTAGGTGCTATCACAAGGTAAGATTTGGTTACGTGCAAAATTATGCAGAACTTTCATGGCATTGGTAACCCTACCACCCTATTGACTGAGATGCATTGGAGTACAAGGAAAACAAGAATGCTTAACTGTTGCTACTTTTAAAAGGGCTGCTGCAATAAGTTTTAAAGCTGTATGTCCTGTTTTCATCCACAATTAAGTTTCCGATTCAGGATGCCACTTCTTCACATGCCTAACTCAGTCTGACTCCCTCAGAAGAAAAAGGCAGAGGAATGTCTAATTTCTGAATCTCAGTGAATTTAATCACTGCTTAGTCACTAAGCTGCCTGACTTTGTCGAGACAGAGGCAATTATCAATACGTGTACAAGCAAAAATTTGAATATAAAAAAACCAAATGAGTTCCTTAGGCTAGACTTTTTGTGGTTGGGTAACCATAGACTGGATGTTTTCAGGATTGAAATTTTGGATTTGTGTTCCTAAATTTTGCCATTATTTTTCTTTAATTTGGCTTCCAGGATCCTTCTGAAATGAAGTACTATGTTTGATGTTGCAGGAATAATGGGCTATTCACTTTTTCATACGTATATGAAAACATCACATGTTTCTTGTATAAGCTTGGCTCCTTTACATCAGCAGCAGTGTATGATAGGGTGGAAATAAATCATGCTTACACAAATTTTAGGGCCTGCCATCATTGATACATTTGTATGGTATGTCCTTAATGTAAATAAGAATCAAAACCTGAGTCCTTGCCTCAGAAAGGTTCATCTAAATCATCATTGCAGTGACCATGAGTCATAAAGTCAGGTTTTAGACACAGGTTTCTATTTCACTTGTATCTGCATCTGCCGGGAAGACTTTGGCTATTTGTAAAGCCTATGGAAACAAAAGGCAGCACACTTTCTCAGTTTGATTTAACTGAAATAGCAAGTTGGACATAATGATAAGTCCTTGCTGTATGCCTTTAGGGCCAATGAACTTAGTTTTTTCTAATCACTTTTACTCTAGGGTTCTATGCTTATTCTGAATATATCTGAGAATTTACACATGTAATTCTTCCGGGCATGGGGATGTAAATAAGAGACCCTTTAATTTATAATCATTGTTGGCAAAAGCTTAATACATTAGAAGATTAGGAATTATGTGCATAACATCCTAGGAGGATCAGAGCACAGATGAGCTTGAGGCAGATCCACTCTTATTCAGTTTGACACACACTTAGGAAGAAATCGTGAGGGAATTTGAATTCTCAGAGTTGTTTCTGTATGCACACTGCATAATTTTGTAATTGATTGATCTTAAAACCTTGGGTTTATTTATAATAAGATATGCCCGGAAATAGGAGTTCATTTAAGTTTATGTTAAGCAATTTTCAAAATGTGAGTAATACATTTTTCTATTTGATCTGTGTGGTTTGCACAGTGTATGCATTTAGGAGAGATAATATCCAGTTCTGGGTAGAATGTGTAGCGTTTATAATGGCACAATTCTGTCAGTTATTGATGCACATCTATATTTCTTTTATTGTATTAATGCAAAGTGTCAGTTATATATGCATTGCTGCCTGGCAGATTGCAGAATTAAGCAACGGATTTGAAATCAAAAGGAAATTAAGCACTTGTGACCAGATTTTCTGCTCCTCTTTAAAAGGATTTCCATTTTTGCACGTGTAATCATTTGCAAATGCTACCTAAAGATCAGTTTCTGCAACTGGATCCGTGAGAGCTGACTTTTATACCAAAGAACCCATTGCATTCAGTGGGGCTTCCTACACACATAAGGGTCCTGCCTTGTAAATCAAGTTGCAGAATAAGGCCTGAAGTCATTGAAATGTTTGCTCACCTGATTTATGGGAGCAATATGGCATATAGACAGTTACAGTGTTTATAGTCAACAGAAGTCCATGTTGACTGCACTGTGTGTCCACTGTAATGAATGGTGAAATCCCATTGACACTGGTAGTTGCAGAATTCAGCCAATTCTGGGCCTTTTTGAATATACCATTCTTAACTCACCTTTATTTTTTCCATAAATATTTCCTAGCACAAAAAATGCACCAAACCTGGTGAAATAGCCTTTTCTTAAGAAGCCAGAAATGTTCCTGGAAGAGCTGTTGATCCTTTTAGAATACAAGAGTCTCCTAATCAAAGAAAGATGGGGGGGAAATCCCTCAAACTCTTGTCCCAACCCCACATTTTTGTAAGTTGTTGTTTTGAGGGAGGCAGCAGAGTCCAACTTTTATTGAACACATGAAACAGAACAGATTCAGAGTTGTAGGTGAATTTTATATGTAGCCCGTTATATTCAGCCGCAGGATTTGGTGTTTCCTTCTTCCCCATCAGAGCTTCAGTTTTAGAGCATAGGGTACAGGGCAGCAAATATAAGAGATGAGTTGAAAAATGGGAAGGTTTTTCTTAGCACAGGCAAAAGCTTTCTTTAGTAACTTACAGGCCTCCAGTGTTGTGAGCTCATTTCTGAATATATGAATTAGGTGAGTGTACGTGCTGTGTATGGGTGTGTATCCTCTTCTGAGGACCCAGCCAAGAAACTGGAAACTTTTAGGGCGCAGGATGGAAAGTGTATCTGTATGTGAAGCTGATGCCTCTCTCACCTGTAATTATTTTAAAATCAGGAAAATCTATAGATTTCCTTTTTTCCCCTTATTATTTGCATTTAGTTTGCTATGCATGTGTGTCCTGGGTTCCAGAAAATAATCTTGTATTTGATTAGCAAAATCAATGCCTAGTAGGGTAAAAGAATACAAAAGGAAATACAGATCTTTATAGAATATTGACCTATAAGTAATATACGCCCATTCATTTTTTTTCCCCCATTTTATTCAGTTTCTACAACACGTAAAGATTAGAATATATTATGAACGCGATATAGTCAGGACAAAAATACAGACTGGCAACTCGTATAAGAACAAAGTCATTTGAAGCTTATGAAGTACACTGCAAATTTGCATACATAAAGCACATTGCCCACTTAATTCACTCAGTCCCACAAGGGACAAAAAATAATTAGGCTACAGACTAGAAAAGCTGGGCAGAAAATTGCCTTTTAGGTAGCTGCCTAGTTTTTATTTGGTAAACATAAATAAATCATCATCTATAAATTAGCATAAACGGGAAAAAAGTGGAGGGTAGGGAGGGGGGAAGAATGTCAGAAATCAACTTATTGTTCCTTTTAATGGCTTTCGACTTTGCAAGGTACCAAAAGCAGCCTTAATATTCCAATACAATACTGACTAATTGCATAGTGCTGACAGGAATATGCCGATTTCTCAAGGGGATTTGAGTTTTAATCCGATTGTATTAATCTTCCGTTGAAACAGCAGAAGTAATTTAAACAGTCTTTCTGTCTAGTTACAAAATAATCCATTGGAAAATTGAATTGTATAATTTGTAATTGTTTTCCAAGCTCACTAATGCAAAACTGTATCGGTAACAAATTAAACATTTAAAGTATGACCATTCTGCTAATCAGTAGCTGTTAAACATTTATTTAAATGAATGCTATCACTTATTATGAATAAAGTATCTAGTTTGGAGCTTTTCAGAAAATGAAATCATTTGGCAGGCCATTTTTTGTATCTTTACTGGAATGTAATAAATCAAGATTTCTCAGAAGTTTTGTGATGTGCTGCTCCCTACCATGAAATCATCAGGTAGTTGAAAATTGGTAGTTAGTGGCTGTGGATCTTAAGAAGACCTCAAATGGATATTGTGGTCTTGTGCCTTTTTGTGTAGCTATAAATGGAGACTGAGTCAGAGTTTCAGATGGGAAAGTCCTCCTACATGGTCTGTATAGATTTGTGGGGGAGGTGCAAAGCATCCTGGGATGCTGGGATAGTGTAAATTAACTTGAATCTGAGGGGGATCTGGGACGGAAGTTCAATAAACTGATCTAACCTAAATCAGTTAAGCCTGATACTACATCCATCCAGGTTTATCTTAAACTGCATTCAAAATGGCCAAACCAGTTTATGTGTACTGAACTTCTGTTATGCTATAGATCTGAACCAGTTTCTAATCATTTATACCAGTCTGTGTAATTTCTGTCCCTAACCCTACTGACCCTTGGTATGGTCTATTTTCAGTGGGTGAAATCCAGAATGGCCTGAAGTCTCCATCACTGATGTTAGACTTTTGATGATCTGCGGCACCACAATACAGCTTCTGGGGAGAATTTAATCCCAGAAGAATCCTATAAGGAGAAAAGTGATTGGTGCACCTTTGCGTTAGCAGAATTATTTACTACTAAATAATTCCCTCATGGTATCCCTCATGGTATTTTTGCTGCTTCCTCTCTTTCTCCCTTAATTTTTAACTTTAGTTAGGTTGTGGTAAAATTAGATGGAGTTCAGTATTTCTCCTTAAATATTTACTGATCCATGTTAGTTCTTTACATTGATGAAGTGTGTTTGCTGTTGCAAACTTCTCTGGGATTGAATCATATGTTACAGAATTGTAGTGCTTTTTACCCATTGGAATCCTGGTCATAAACTATCTTGGCTGCAGACCAAGATAGCATAAATGGATGATTGATGACTCTGATGTTGAACAGGCTAGATTTTTCCTCGATGTTTTTGTTTTTTTTTTAATATTATGGTCTGTGGGATAAACAAATAAAGCTACCAAAGCTTTGTTTCACATATATCTCCAGCGGAAATTTTCACTCTGGCTGCGTATACATGTTCAAACGATCTGGGAAAATTCTTCAGGATTGTTCTCCTGGTAGAAAAAAAAAATTACCTGGAGGTGCTTGAACAGACATTTGAATGATAAGCCTTTGAGGAGCAGAGAGTTTGCAGTGACAATGCTGTGCAGCGAGTAGCCCCCAGTGTAGATATCTGCATTCTGCAGGCTCCCTCACTCTGCCTGGTGAGAGATGACAGCAGTGCACAATGCAGCCTTGATTGGTTGACCCAGACTGCTCAGTGTCAGTCTGTGTCTCCCTGAAGCACAGAGTGAAAATTGTGAAGGGGATGTGTTCTGTTCTCTCTGAAATTTGGGG